ACCAGTTTGCTGACCACTTAGACCAGTAAAATTAGCTAAAACATTTGCCGTGCCTTTAAATCATTCTCGAAAACCTGGAAATTGTTTTAAAGTGTTTATTTTATATGTAAGTAAAAGGAATTAAAATTTATCCCACAGGGGGATGCCTCAAATCAAAGAAATAAAATAAGCCAACTTAGGCCTATATTACTTAACATAGGTTATCAGTAAGGCAGCAGTTATTTTTTCAATTCTCGGTGCAAATAGAGATACTTAAAATTAGTTTCTCCAAAAATCAACATATTACTCCAACTGTAAATTAAACGTTTGGTAATTGGTAAGGCTCGAACCCGTGAACTTCTGGCTCATACACAGCCAACTACTAGGATGAAACATAAATTCAGACCACCCATCATCCCAAGAGTACATAACACCTACGAAATGTAAATTTAACATCCAACATTTGGTGGCCTTTACAAAGACCATTTTTTATGCTCAACGGTAAAGTTCCACTTAAGCCTTCTTTCAGTTGTTTTTAACATTGGATACATGAATTATCATTTTTGTTTTGCATTTGTTATGGACTACAGCAAGTAGATATGTATAAAATAAAATAAAAATATATAATGTTTTGTTTGTGATTGGTGGGAATCGAACCCGCAAACCTCTGAGATCAAGGACTCACACTACTACCACTACGATACGATACGATACCATACCAAAAATCAACATATTACATCAACAGTAAATTAAGCGTTTTGGTGATTGGTAAGGATCGAACCCGTGAACCTCTAGTTCATACATAGCTTCATAAACTACCAACCGCTAGAAACAAACATCATTTAGATTACCTCTCATCCCAAGAGTACAAAACACCTACGAAATGTAAATTTAACATTTAACATTGGTGGCCTTTACAAAGGCCATTTTTTATACTCAACTGTAAAGTTCCAATTAAGCCTTCTTTTAACTGTTTTTAACATTCGATACATGAATTATCATTTGTTTTGCATTTGTTATGAACTACAGCAAGTAGATATGTATAAAATAAAATAAAAATATAACGTTTTTTTATGATTGGTAGGGATCGAACCCGCAAACCTCTTAGATCAAGGACTCACGCTACTCCCACTACGATACAAGGAGGGAGAGAGCTTCTTTGAATAAATATTGTCTCCGTCATTGTATTTCCAGATCTCCGGTATTAAACAACTACCGCTTACAGAGCAGCATTAACCTACAGAATTAAAAGTAATACTAAACTGTGATCAAGAATGTTTAGAGTTGGAAATATTTTTTCATACAGTGCTACATTACCGACTTAGATAGTTCAAATTCAAAGTAGCGTACTGCTTTACCCACACCGCCCGCAGGTGTGTGTGTGTGTGTGTGTGTCCACCAACGGAACGATTAATGCGGGTTCAAGTTTTTTGCATTCAACAGTAGTGTACTGCTCTACTGAATACAACCTTTTTGTACATCATACAGGCAGGTGGACAGTTATACTCTGTACGGCACGTAGCAGATAAGCTAATGGGGGTAATTTCAACTGGGAAATTGTTTAAAAGTACCAAATTTTATATATGAACACCAAACGGTTGGGACTTCATAATATCGTAGTAAAAGTCATACATTCGTACTTTGCTCAAATCTAATATGGACATACCAATATAGATTGGTTTGTTTAAAATCAGGGGGAAAGAGGTTCACACAGGTCTAGACCAAATAACCCTGTGCTATGGAGACCCCCCTTATGCAAATTACTTCAAGCTTAGTCTGTCAAAAGCGAGTGTTCTTCTTCCATCTCGACGAATTCTTCTTGTGGAATTTTTGAGTGTCCCCATGGTAAGGAACTTATCCCATTGGATAAGATGTATCTTTTATCATCATGAGTTGATAATGCAATCTTATTAAGCTCAATGGTTTGTTTAACATCACTGTGGTTTTACTCATATGAATGCCTACTAAGTTTTCATTGTAAATGGTTCGGTCGATGCAGCTATTTCCATTGTCAAAGTCCTAATGCCATCATTACAACTGTAGGCTAGCTTCCTTTTTTTATTTTGCATTCAACAGTAGTGTACTGCTCTACCGACTTGTTGCACAGTCAGTGAGCTCAGGTTTTCTTTCTGATTATCACACAGACTGAATACAACCGTTTGTACATCATACAGACAGATGGTCAAGTACTTCTCTGTACGGTACGTAGACTAGACACGTCAGTTAAGGGGGATAGTTTGAATTTGGACATTGTTTAAAAGTACCAAATTTTAGATATAAACAACCATTAACACCAACGGTGGATGAATCAAATAAACTCGATGTAGAGTAGATTGCTTTGTTGAATAGAAGTTTCGTCTTACTCATATGTACAGCTGCCAGTTGTTCTGTAAAAAAAAGAAAAGATGACCTTCCCAAGATCTCATTGTACACTGTTCGATCTATAAAGTTTGGTTTGGCAATCAATTTTTCAGCTATTTCCAATCTTACACTCGAGTCTCTATTTCTGACTTATTCCATTTACACTCGAGTTTAGTCAAACTTAACCTCGTTCTCCATCTTTTAATTCTCAGCTGTTTTGTAATGTCCCCACGGCAAAAAAGTCCTAATGCCATCATTACAAACGAATCTTTTATCATCATAAGCTGACAACGAAATCTTGTTGACTTCCACACTGTACAACTTACTCTCATTTCTTCTGTTTTCTATAAATAAAGAATAAACAAAAGAAAGAAGCTACCCTACACTATAACTGTAGAAAACCATATGATCACCCTCATACACCCCAAGTACACATCACCTATGACGTCAGCTCAAACAGTACCCACCACGTCACTTTGTGACGTAGCACACCCGCATACACCAAATTACCTCAACAACCTACGTCACTACCCACATACGTCACAAGTGACGTACCACCGGAAATCCGCTATAATTACGCCATTTCCGCCTGATGGGCTTTAAACTCAATTAATTCACCCCACCTGCCCTGACAGGTGGTGCGATAGGAGTGACCTTTGGCTACTACTTTTCGCGGCTGCACTTAAGATCTCCGAGAACTCGAATGGTTTTTTTCTGCAAGGTGAAAACCCGACTCGTATTCTCCTTAGAATAATTCCCCCATGGAACAATCCCATCTCTTACAGCCAATTCATCTATTTAACTGTCTGGTGCGGGCCCAAGGAAAATATAGACATTCTCAGCTGCAGAACCCAACTACACCCTTATATATAATACGTGAAGGCGATTTCTACGAAACACTACTCCTCCGTTAATAATGGATGGATTTTTACAAACGATGTGTCAAAATTAAGGATTTTTTGTGTAGACACCCCCTTTCACCAATTCCTGTAATAAAGATCCTCGGGCTTCGCCCCACAGGCCATCAAAATCCCAATGTATTTCTTATGAAGAAAAGATTTTGTTTACGTAAACAGACTAGAGATGGGCGCTATTTAACATAACAGGATGAATAACAGGGCTGCGGCCACGGCAACCGTTATCGCGGCAACACGTTGCGGAGAACTCCCTGTTATTTTAATAACGTATCTATCTACACCACTGAGCTATAATAAACTGGAGGTAGCACTGAATGTCAAAGATGCGTGTCGCCAGCCGCCATGTTTGCGTGAGGTGGGTGTCCATAAGAAGCCATGTTATTGCTATGACAAAAAAACTCACTGCTATACAACCTAGTTATAAGAAGCCATGTTATTGCTATGGTAAGAAAACTTACTGCTATACCAACCTAACAAAATCAGCGACTCGCTTTTGACAGACTTCTGCCATGGCAGTGCTACCTCCAGTTATAATTTTAGCTCAGTGATCTACACAATGTTGCAGGAAAGCCGCGTGGACAACGAAAACGAAAACATGCATTGCCATTAGTGCCGTTGCCGCAACGCTACCAGAGCAACGATAACTTCTGAAACGAACTAGAATTAGAATAACGCATCCTGTCTGGACAACGCGATAACGCCCGATTCCCGACTACAAACATAGATAAAACATACTCCTCAAGGATACTCCTTTTAATAGCCACTTGGTTCCCAAACCCAAAATGGGGGATTTTGGGGGAAATTAAAAAAATTAATCGATAGGCCCCATTGAGTGACCCCTCATTTTGAAGGTCATAACGCAAACTTTATCTTTATCTTAACACAGTAAAATATGGCAGCCAATTGATTATAAAATTGCAAGTTATTTTTGATTTCTAAAGATTTCAATCAGCTTCCATTTTTTACTGGATTGAGATAGAAACCTTTAACTTGCGTTGTTAATTTTATTTTACCAGGACCTTCAAAATGAGGGGTCACTCGATGGGGCTTATCATTTAAAACTTTTGAATTTCCCCCAAAATCCCCCATTTTGGGTTTGGGAACCAAAAGGCTATTAGGCTTAAAAAGTACTTCATAACATGCCAAAAAGGTGTGTAGAGTTTAGTTTTCCTAGTTTGAGCCGTTACAAAATTTACAGGGGGTCTCCAGACTTGGAAAGCTGTAAATTAAATTTAATTTCTGAGAATTTCAATTGGCTGCCATTTTTTACTGGATTGAGATAGAGACCTCTAATTTGCGTTGTTGGTTTTTTTTACCAGAACCTTCAAAATGAGGGGTCTTTGTATTTGAATCATTTGAGTTTCCCCCAAAATCCCCCATTTTGGAGATGTATACAAAGTGGGTGTTATGCCCAAAAAGTACTTCATAACATGCCATAAATATGTGCCGAGTTTAGTTTTTCTAGTATTGGCCGTTAAAAAAATAACAGGAGGTCTCCACACACACTTTTTACTAACCCTGTATATAAACAGTGTATAAATAATTCACGTTTTACTATCATGTAGGGAGTAGGGACCGAGAACATAGCCAAATAAGCCTAATTAGTAATTAGGCACATTTCAGAACCAATGCTAACTAAATCGTGAAAGAAAGTGGTGTGTTTTATGTTTAACAGCTGATTGTTTTTTCCCATCAATGTTTATATCTCTTTGCAATGCTTTGGTTTTTTTTGGACGGCCGACGGCCATGTTTATTCCGAAACTGAAACCCGAAATGGATGTCAAGTTAGTTGGCCAAATACTTGTATATCTTACTTGTAATAATTTCAAATTTTAAGTGAGTACATATATTTTTATTTGTATATCTTCCAAAATAGTTTATATATCTTCCAAAATCACTATTATACATATGGCCGATTAATTGTATCTCGGAGGAGTGTGGGCAGATTTTGACTTAGCATCAATGCCAACCTGTCTGTTATTGAAAACCTGAAAGATGACTACTAGTGTACATTAGCAGACAGCTATTTACAGTAGACTACTTGTTATTTGAAATGCATTGCAGTGTCAACTAGTTGTTAAAATAATATTTCACATAATTAATTAGCTGACTAAGCCTATAAGATATTTAGACAACATGTAGTTAAAATGTTACTGCCACTACAAAAACAAAAAATAACAGGGTAATGAAGCATTTAAGTTTGTGAAATAATTAATAAATTCCAACAGGCCAAGCAAGGCTCACTATTATGTTATGTTAGGCATCCCAATTTATATGCCTAAGCTTAATAATACCTTTTGAGTTTATCTCAAATTATGTAAAAATAATGACAAAAATGTCAGGTACAGTTCCGCACAGAACCTGAGATAGGTATATTAAGTTATCGGATGAACAATAAATATTTATGTTTATCCAAAACATAATATTGATTACACAATAGTTTATTTTTCCCCAATGTAAGCTTAGACATCTATTTGATTTATGATTTGTTTACTTTTTAATATTTAATAAATAAGTTAAAGCTAACAATATTTAGCCTAAACAAAAACTGTTTACACTTAGTTATCAATACTAAGGTATTGATATAAGTAACCACATAGAAATAGAAAATTAATGATTTCTTCCATTTTAATTCTTTAATAGGCCTAAGTTAACTTATTTAAGAAAAAACGAAGGATAAAATAAAGAAAAAGCTTTTATATTGTTATTATTTATAGGCTAATATGGTATTGCATTCAATACAATATTAATATAGCCTAAAAACAAATAGGTAAGTTAGATATTGATGTATTTATTTCATTATTCATCCAACAATATATTGCAGGTTCTCTGCAGAAAAGTTCCGTAGAGAACCTACGATATATCAACTTAAGTTATTGGTTCAAATATTAGTTCTTTAACTTATTTATAATGTACCGGTATCGCCTAGCCTAATATCGATTGTATTTATTGGATATGAACAGTTAATCCATAGGATCTTTCGAAGAAGACTAACCTAAAACTATCTCTGTGGTGATTAGGTTAGGTTATTTCAGTTTTGTTCATGACAATAAACTACAAGATTGAAGTTTTTGTGACAGCAGAAAAATCTTTGCACCATTGGTTTCAGGTAAAAATCTATTATCTAATTATATATAAATTAGTATGAATCTCTTGGTCACCATCTCCTGCATAATTTCCGATTGAAGTTCTACTGTACAAGAGTTAAGGAAATTTTGGATACCACAATAAGTTACTTAATCTCTCAAAACTATAGGTGTGCACTGTAGTATTTCCTATTATTTTAACACATCCCAAAAACTGCTCACACATATTAAACTACATTTTTACAATATAACTTAAGTCTTTTGTTGAAAATAATAGTTTAGGCTATAACTATAAATTGACATAGAGAATTCATGGTGGTCCCCTTGTACTATAAAGATGGAAAAACTGGCAGCAATTTATGAATGACAAAGAAAACCATAAACTTTGATGACATCCGCAAAATCTTGTGCATGACGATAATTTAAAGCTGTTGTAGACTGTGCTAAACTGAAAAATAGGCTAATTCATGTGACCTTACCCGAAATAAAACTTTATTATGAATTAAAGTGTCTGTGGTTGGTCCAGGCATGCCATCATGTGCTGCTCTAGGATGTTTCCGACAGAAGGGTATGGTTCGGAAATACTTCCCTCGGAAAGACCGTCGCCGACGTCAGATATGGGTGGACATGATGGATCGTCCTGGGTGGATTCCTAACAAGACATCATTCTTGTGTGAGGTAAGTTTTTTCAAGCAATATTTTCATGCCAGGCCTTATTATATTCCTCTCAATCCAAAACAAAAGCAGTTCTATCTCTTGAAAACTAAAAATTGTATCATAAAACATTTTATTGCTGGATAAAAAAATCTCTTATAGCCTAACCACTCTAAAAAAGTAAAACCTGGTAACTTCCACTTTTGTTATTTGTATTCTATTTTTATATATTTTTGTTACAATTCCTTGTCTTTCCCCAACTAAATTTTAAAGTTATGAGAAAAGCAGCTGTACCATTGACAATTTTGGTTTAATATATAGCTATAAACTAAAGAAGATAGAACAGGAATACTAATTTTGGTAAAACATTAAGTAGGTTGTCCCAGAGAGAGTAGTTCGAAGTTCCTGGTAGAAGGCCGTTAATTTTTCAAATGAATAATTTCTCCCTTAGTTTGGCTTCAGTAGTTCCATACGTTTAGTTAGGTTAGGTGACTAGGGTATATACAAATGGATTTAATCCTTAATAACTGTTACTATACAGAAATTAAAGCAAAAGGTCATCTTTAGCCTGTAGCGAGGTGACAACTTCAGCGTGTTCATAGTAGTACAAAAAACAAAAGTATGTTGGACGAAGCCGACGTAGGCAACAGCTTGTTTTGTTTTGTTATACATTAGAACCCAATACAATTAATCACAGTCCACTCATCAATATATTGCTAAGATCAATTTAATGTAGAACAATTATTAATTAATTTGTCAAGGTTTTACATCAAATTCACTTGTTACAGGTTCACTTCGACAAAGACCAGTGGGAAATGCGAAATGGGAAACGCAAGTTGAAGAGTTCCGCTATACCGACAATATTCCCAATCAAACCTACCCACTGTCCTGTGCCAAGAGACCATCCGTATTGTCTGCCTTACTATCGTAAATTTGTTGAAGACGGCACATTTAAAACAGGTTATCATCTTCTTCCATTATTTTTGTTTACCTTACTCTGTATTGTATTCTATCAAACACCTTTTTTAAAGTTCAAGGTATCAGTTATCTCTAAAAGTTTTACAAAATCTGAAAAAGTCCTTTCTGTGACCAAGTGGCAAGCGTAAAACAACAACAAAACCCAAAAAAGACAGTTTTGATGTATGGCTTACAGAAACATTGGTTCAACCATTACAGTGTGAGATGCACACTCAACTAAAGATAATTAATTTTAAATAGGTATTGGTAGTTGATTTGAAAAACAAAGATTGTAACCAAATGAACAATGCCTCAGAGTACTAATGTTATAGTTTTGTGCAATCATGTTTGGGATTTATAAATGTATTAAATCTAAAATTTTATTTCATATAACATACCATAATATGCTTAGGAAATTATTCTACCTGATGAAAAACTTGTTTAATTTATAGTGTTAATTTTATTACAAAAAATGTCAAGTAAACTTTTAATTTTTTGTTTTTGATCCTACACTATAGGTTTCTATATGAAACAAGGAACTGTATACCAGTGCAATGTTACTACTGTGTGTCATTGTAATGTTAATGTAGTGTACCTATGTGTAGTTTTTAGTAGCTGAGCGGTTATATAGTAGGACCCCACCAATCCGACTCCTCCTCCAATCGGACCGTGCCTTCGCCTATCAGTGACAATGTTATCGAGGTAACATCATGACTATTTGCAAAGGTCATTTGGAGATAATCACTCCCTTAACAACTCTCCCGAATTTTCGGAAACAATTTTATTTATACCCAGCGATTGGGAAACATCATAGTTTACGGAAACGCCTGTTGTCATCCTCCATGATCGTGGCAAAATAATGAATGTTTTCCACAGTCAAATGAACATTATTCATCGTCTTCTGCGATCTTGGAAGAAAAAAATCATCATCATTTTCGGTGACATCCGCCACAGTTGGGTGGTTTTCTAACTGTCTCCAGCAATTACGGAAACTTTATCGTTGTTAAGGGTTTTCTTGGATCACGGCAAACTCCTGAAAGTCTCCTGTAGTAAAGGACACGTCATCATCTCCCGAGATCACGGAAACTGTCATTATCTGAAACCGCGGCAAGCTCCAGAATATCTCTTGCGGTAATTGAAACATCATGGTCGTCTCTTGCGATGGTGGTATGATATTGAACGTTTTTTCACCATTGTGTGCGATCAATAAACGTCAGTTAAGTAACTAATTTTGTAATTTCACATGCTCCTTTGATACCTATATTAAACAGTCAAATCAACCCCGTTAATTTTCTTATATAGGGTGTTTCGGTAAAGCGTAGCGGACTGTGCAGATTCAGATTCTACATGCAAAAATAAGTCAAAAATTTAGAATAACTTTTTTTTCGATTTCGGCTTAGTTTAGCCGTAATCCGCCATTTTGTATTTTTTTGAAAATAATTAATAACTCAAAAACTCTTGGTTGGAAATTTTTATGAAAATTCGTATAAACTTTTAGGCTACAGGTATAAACATTCTCCAAAAATATCTTTGATCAGGCTCATCAAATTTCAAAATGGCGGCCATTTAAAATTTTTAAAGTAAAATTCAATTAAAAACAGCCATTAAAACAATTTTAAATGGCCACCATTTTAAAATTTGATGAGCCTGATCAAAGATATTTTCGGAGAATGTTAATAAGTGTAGCCTTAAAGTTTATACAAAGTTTCATAAAAATATCTCTAAGGGTTTTTGAAATATTAATTATTTTCAAAAAAATACAAAATGGCGGATTACGGCTAAACTAAGCTGAAATAAAAAAAAAAGTTATTCTATATTTTCAACTTATTTTTGCATGTAGAATCTGAATCTGCATAGCCCGCTACGCTTTACCGAAACACCCTGTATATCTTCTTGATATTATAGCCTGTGCAATATCAATGGTACTTGTTCTGTGCTTCAGTATATCCATGTTTTTTATACAAATCTACCTTAGCTCGGTTCAGGCTAGGTTCTAGCGCTTTTTTAATAATCAAAAACCTTTTTATACCTCAAAATATGTACTTAGTATATATGAACTTTTTGTAAAAAATCACAATTTTTTAATTGTTTATCATGATGATGTAGTTCAAAATGTTTATATAGGCTAACATTTTTTTTTGTAGATAAATCAGAAGACAGTAGTTCCATGCATATTGAACATATTAAAGTTGAGATGGGCGAAAATGAAGATTTTGATTTTACTAAAGAATCAGTGGAAGAAGGGATCAGTTTAGAGGGTAGCGGAGACAGTCAAGAGAGAGAAGAAGAAGTTGAAAGTATTCAATGCACTCCAGACATCTTAGCGTATCCAGAGCGAGGAGAACCTTACCCCATTGAAATGGTCAACTGTGAAATGGAGTACAATACAAGCCTGTAAGTTGTCTTCACACAACACGTCTGTACCTGAACGTAGTAGCTTTGACTATCGAGAGAAGTAGACCTACATCTCATTTCCATGTATATAGTTGATTTTTAAGGGAAAACGGCTGGAGCTTGGCCCTACAGTTCAGCCAAAGTTTCTGTTCGCGCGACCATATCTGGTTGGGTCTAGGCGAGGGGGTTGGTGGGGGTACTTTTGTGAAAATACTTATACTTACTTGTATACTTGAATTCTTCATCTTTGACAGAACCAGTCTGATAGATTGCGTTATATTTATTAATGATAAAAATAAAGACTATGTACATTATTTACAGTAATTATACTGAGTCACTAAACTTAACTTGGCCGTTTACTATTGGCAAAGCGGACAGAAACTCATCTAACAAGGGGCTCATCCTCAAGTTCCTTTAAGGAGTACAGCGGCCTTTTAATCAATGCATCTTTTAGTATCTTCTTAAAAGAGGGCACATCCATCTCCCGCACTCGAGTGGGCAGCGTATTGTAAATTCTTATGGCTGAGCGTGGATATCTACTCGAGGTATGGCTCGAGAACTGACTTCGAGAGGTATGACTCGAAAACATTTGTCCCTTGCCACTCACTCACCCCTACCCCAGCACTGCCAATAGCCGGTACCCGTATGTTTTATTTCGGCTAGTATCGACCCGTCCACGCGCACAGAAGTTTTGGCCGAACTGTAGGGCCAAGCTCCAGGAGGGACCTGACTCACGCACGCACACTCACCATCACCCTAATCACCCTAGTCTTGCACATTAGATGATCTTTTACAAGAGAATGAAAAAAGGCAATACGGGACTGCAATGCCCGAGCAGAAATGCTACTGCTTTTGTTTGCCTTCCTGCAGACAATTTGTCCAGCTTACCAATGGTTAGCGGCCAACCTAGAACTGTGTATGATAGGTTATTGTGGATAATTTTTAAGTTAAATTAATACTTTGAATCATTATTTATACTATTAATTTTAATAAATCATGAATTACTTGCTATTTTTACTTTGCTTTCCACAGAAAGATTTCTAAAAAGTAATTATTGTTTTACGACCGGAATTTAAAAAAATACACATAGACTATTTATGCCTAAAACGACCTCGGATAACCCAAAGGCAAGGATAATCGAGAGTGTACTGTACCCAAAACTAAAAGAGAAAATTAAATCTTTGACAACAAAATGCCCTGTGTAAGTGGATCATTCCTTTATGTTCAACATTGTATCTGAAAATTGGCTGCAGTTGGTCGATATAGATGGGATGTCTACTACAGTGTCCAAAAGTGGAAGAAAGTAGGCTATTCACCTGCTAAATCATTTTAACTGAAAAAATAATGAGGGGTCTCAGATTATCAAAGATGATAGGCTACTACATTTATTATATAGGTAACAAAAGTCAACATAGGCCTAACATCTTCTGTGGTCTTATCAAAATCATGAAAATCTTCCACAGTCACGGTAAAATCCAGAACATCTACTGTGGTCATAGATTAATCGTGTACATCTTCTGTGGTCACAGCAAAAAATTAAATGTCTTCCGTGATCACAACAAAATCGAAGAAATTTTCCTTGGTCAATGCAAATTCATTGTCTCCAACGATATCTGTAAAATTTTAAATTCTGCGATCACAGCAAAATCAAGAACCTCTGCGGTCATGGCGAAATTGTGACCATTCTTGTTGAAATTGTCATCATCTTCTGAGGTTATGGCAAGATTGTGAACATCTTCTTGAGGCTGCGGCCACATGGGCGTTTTTTCACGCACAAATGCAGTGTGAAAAAACGCGAAAAATATGAGCAGCATTAAATGTAATGCGGTATGCCACACACGGTGTGTTTTCCCGCAGTTGCGGGCAGGGCCAGGGATAGTAGCTAGTAAGGGCTAGGCCACTCTTTTGATGTTTGGCAGAAGCCGCCGCGCCAGGTAGTGGGGGGGGGGGTTGGCGGCCGCGTGACGTCACGTGGTTGCCTCGCCCAGCGCTTCTGCAATTAACCCCTTGTATGTTTTCATTCAATGCGCTAAGTATGTAGTTCAGTTTTGATGTTAGCTGTGGTTAGAAGTGTTCTGAAGTCAAATAATATTTGACTGACTGATAGTTTGTTTATGATTTTCATCTGTTTCCTATGGAATTATTGTTTGTAAAATCCCGGAGAATGTGGCACTGGCACAGAGATGAATCGCGATGGAATACCCGATGTGATCGATTGCAAAGACTGTAAAATTAAAACAGAAATAAATGAAAAACTACAAACTGAAGTAGTAATTTTAAAAACAAAACAGTTCAGTATGTTTTTTTTTTATATTTATGTTATCAAGCTACAATTTATTGATTTTCAAAATACACTCTCAATCTTTTATTTCATTCATTTTTTCAGATAGAGCCGTCTTGAAATACGTAAGCTTGACTAATACAATAGTGTACTTTATTGAAATCATTTCATTCTTTTTAGAGCGTTTGAAGTCGGTTGTATTTTTTTTACAAAATTAAATTATTTTATGATTTTTAGTGATTGTATAATTTGTTATATATTAATTACTTGAGGTTTTTCGATAAGCAAATTTGTTTGAAACAATCAAAAGTGCCACAGAACAATCATCTGCTTGAGTTTTACATTTTTGTACAAGTTTTAGTTTACATTTAAAAAGGTTTAAGAACATGATAGGAAATTCTAATTAAATATTTATATAATATTTTTTTAAATTTTAACCTAATTTTAGTAAGCTCGTCTAAAAGATTGTAAAAATAAATAAACTTGAATATAATTTTGAATAGAAATATTGCTATTAAGAAAGCCTAAATATATGTTTTTTTTTTATTTCGAGAAACCCTTAGGGAACACAAATAAATTGTTTATTTGGTTAAATATTTCATATTCTTTTCAAAAACATAATTGAAGTAACCACATGTTAAAAGTCTAGGACAATTCTTCGTACTTTGATCTTCAATAATAAATAGTAAATAATAATATTCATATGAACAAGTTACACCATTCCATAGACAATTTAATTTCCTTTTAAGAATGCCAGAGGTTAACAAAATAGGTCTTTAAACTTAGCGGGAATTTTAATTCGAAACAGGGCGCGCGTGCTGCCGAGCATTGCCATCATACTACAGTACAGGCGCGGCTGACAACCACGTGACGTCACAGGGTGAATCGAGCGGGATTCAGGTACAACGGCGGAGTGGTCTAGCCCTTACTAGCTACTATCCCTGGCCCTGGTTGCGGGCGCCCATTTGTTTCAATGCTACTATAATTTTTCGCGTGTTTTCACGCTGCGTTTGTGCGTGAAAAAAACGCCCGTGTGGCCGCAGCCTTAGTCTCTGTAACATGATCGTCTTCCAGGATTGCTTATAAAAAATTGGGAACAGAAGTTTTTGCTGCAGTAGGCCATAGCTAAAAATATATTAAGTAGCAAATATATTTTTATTGTAGGATATCATATATTGAGTAAAATAAAAATAAAGGACAACATTAAATGATAATGTTTTCAGTAGTTTATTATGCACAATGATTTTTATTATTTTCAGGGCTGAACCTGAAAGAGACCCCCTGGCTTTTTCTGCTGAAGACAAAGTAAGTGGCCAGTTAAACAAGTAGTTAAAATTTGACCAAAACCATTTATTGCATTTTATTATAAGCCAAAATCAAGTTTTTATAATCCTCTTAGTTCCTTTAATATAGTTCTTTGAAACAACTATTATTCTCAAAAGGTTATTTTGAACTTTCTATTCAGGATTTTCTTTCGTTTCAATTCACACAGTTTTTGTGGGAAATACTTTAATGGAGTTTATTCCAAGAAATCGAGTGTCTTACCAATGTAAGTTAATATTGTTTGTATGTTTATAGCTCTTGATTCAAGTGTATCTATTGAGTCACCTCTTGAGTCATTGTCGAGTTTGTCATGCTTATTAAAACTCACCCAACTGCTCTTATTGGGTTTAGATGTTTACACACTCTGATCCTACTGAAGAGAAACAGTAAAAGAAATCAATTGTATCCTACAGATCCAGTCTCTAGCTCTGCATCAACTAATCATTGGTAAGATATACAGGTAGAGGCTGACCAGAAATTTTTGATTGTATTAACCGACTATGATTAGTGTGGTTGGCTGAGTTTTATGATAAACTTTTGGAATGGACTTTGAGGAACTAATAACTTGCGTATAATTAATTGTTGGTAATAATAGTTTTATTTTCAGATCAACCCAACAGCAGTACATCCGCTTTTTGGAACAGGAAAAAAATATTTATTCATCCCTAGAAATACTAAAGCGGTTGTCCACACACCAGATAAAGCTACTGGGGAACCTTTAGTGGGAAGTACTCTTCCGACTAACAATCAATCCAGTGCAAGGTTAAAAGTAAAAAGTATAAAACAACTTATAGATCCAAAAACTGCTTTGGAAACTCCAACAAAATCCCCCAATCTTCCACCATTTGTGGATTCCAAACAAGTTTTCAGGTCACCATCAGCTGTCTACATAAAAGAACCTTTAACTCTGACAGCTGCTTCAACCAAAACTGGGGACCTAAAGTCAATGTCTCCAGTTAGTTTGGTAATTGATAAGGACATAGTTACGTTGACATCGCCAAAGTTTAACAGTTCTGTGGGAGCCAAAGTAACTCCAACAAGCAAGGCCGCACCACCAAAACTGAATTTGGTTACAACCCCGGTTTCCCATGAGCACAATCTAAACTTCTTTCAGAATACAAAAAACCGTAATGCGCTGAAAGTTTTTAGTAAAATTAAAGAAAGTTCTAATCCTTTGTTATCGAGTAGTTCTAAAGAGGAGCTCTCTAAACTGGCATTACAAAAGAATAATTATTCTAAAAAGATTTTTGCTTTTGAAAAAAAGACAAATTTTAAATGTTTAAACCCTCAAAAAACTTGTCCACCGTTGAAGAAAGCTGCCTCAATTTCATGGAAAATGTTGGAAAATAAAGAAGTAATTGAAGAAAAGGACAACAGCCCTAGGAAAACAATTAGGAACAATGATGGAAAACATTTGGTACAAAAAAACCAAATCAAGAGAGCCTCGATTATTATTTTAAAGCCGTATGGTTCCCCGAAAAACGTTTTTCCCCGTGGAATTGAGGGAAACACTAAAAAGACTATGATGTATAAATGTGCCAGGTGTAATGCTTTGTTTACTTCCAAAAATGCATACACAAGACATAAACCCTGTAATTTCATTAAAGAAAAACAAAGCAATTACTTTAGAGCGATAAAAAAAATACTGCAGACAAATGCCAATGTCAATGTTGATGGAACATCCCTTGGAAGGACCAATGAGAATGAAATTAGGCAAAAAGAAAGCACCGCAGTATTAGTTTCATCTGAAGATGAATCCAGTTTAGAGACAATTGAAGAAATTTCAAGTTCCAATGAAGATACTGATACTGCTTCTGAAAAAAGTGAAAATGGCGTTGAAAAGTCCATTAAAGATAGAAATATTTTGAAGCAATCGCTTACAGTAGAAAATACTTTCCCGGAAGTACACGATCTAGTTTCATCTGAGGATGATTACAGTGTAGGGACCACTGAAGAAATATCAAGTTCTGATGAAGATACTGATTCTGCTTCTGAAAAAAGTGAAAATGGCGTTAAAAAGTCCATTAAAGATAGAAATATTTCAAATCAATCACTTACAGTAGAAAATACTTTCCCGGAAGTACATGATATAGTTTCATCTGAGGATGATTCCAGTATAGGGACCACTGAAGAAATATCAAGTTCTGATGAAGATACTGATTCTGCTTCTGAAAAAAGTGAAAATGGCGTTAAAAAGTCCATTAAAGATAGAAATATTTTGAATCAATCATTTACAGTAAAAAATACTTTACCAAAAGTACCTGATCTTAGTGCCGTCAAATTTAAAAGTGTTGAGTTCTTGAAAAAATCAGGACAATGGGGACCACGAAAAGTAAGGGGACTAATGAAGGGAAGGAAACTCAATAAAACTGAATCAAAAGACAGTTTTAATGGAGATGATAAATCTGTTGGATGTAAACAAATGTTAGATGAAAGTAAAAAGGAAGATGCTGTAAATTCTTTACCTAAAGAAAATCCATCAACTAAAATACAGAAAAATCATAAAGTAGTCCCAACATCATTTCAAAGGAAGACAAGACCAAACAAGATTAAAGATGACCAAAGAAAAAACAATATAGTGGTGATCAGCAGCAGTGATTCTAGTGAAGATGATGCCAGTACCTGCAGTTTGGTGGATATTAGTAATGAATCTGAGCGTAATACGAGAAAAGGTAAAATCAAATCTAGTAGATACGTACCACAAAACAGTGGGGCTTCTTTGGCTATCCCTTCAGGGGTAGTGGATAAGGAAAGATTAAAGAAGCTTATAACACTAAAAAAGGACACAGAGTTAATTGATAAACAGCAAAAAACTGTAGTCTTAGAAAAAGCTGTTGAATCATTTAAACCCTTGAAAACTAATGATTTTTCAAATAAACCAACTGTAATGCTATCAAGGCTTAATACATCAGATATCTGTAAAATAAAAACCTGCAAAGGTATTGAAAAACAACATTCTCCGGAAAACAAAGCAAAATTAGTTCCAAGCGATGACGAGGATATAAAGTGTAGAGGAAAAACTAATTCCAATAAAATTAGGGCAAAGCCCAAATTATCTCTAAGTGTTTGCCAAAGAGGTGGGGAAAAAACGTTGATTGCAAAAGTTTCAGAGGAAGAGGTGGTAGATTTAACTCAAACAGATCAAGCAACAGAAAGAAAACAAATCCTGAGTGAAAAACCAATAATTTCACGAGTGCCAAAGTTAAGAAGTAGAGAAATAAAAACAAATGATAGGGCAGACACAAACAGTAAAAAGTTAAACATTGGAAATGATCTTCATAATGCAAACAATATGAAATTAGTTTTGGAAACAGTATCACCACACAAAGAAAAAAACTCGAGTGAAGAATTAAGTTTTTCAAAAAATAAAGTAAATAAAACTGTATCCAAATCAAATTTGAAAAGTCGAGCTTTAAAACTTAAGGTTGAAGATAACATAACAAGTGCAAAGTTGAGTTCGGGTAAAAGTTGCTTGGATAAATTCAAAAAGCCATTGGAGAAAAGGCTGAAAATGAGTAATAAAAAGATCATCCAGGACAATATAATAACCAAAAGCAAGAGTAGTTCAAAGTTGAATTCAAATGTAAAACTAAAAAAAGGTTCTCTTCCAAGGAAAATTAAAAACTCTCACAAACAACCACAGTTAATAAATAACTCCAATAAAAGAAAACAGTCGAAAACAATAAAATGCCAAATTTGCAAATCAGTTGTCGAGAGATCACACTACAAACATCATATCACACGGCACGTGGAGACCCACTCAGCCTGCAAGGTGTGTAAGCAAAAGTTTGCTCACAGCGTTTTACTGAGACGACATATGAAGAGTGTTCATTTTATTGGTTGATTGAAGTACTGTGGCTGCAGTGCTTGTGAACCTAATCCACTGTAAGTCGTCATGTTATGTATGTGAACATTTAAATTGGATGACAAAATCAGTGTCTCAAAAGTTCAAAGCTATAAAAGGTGATTTTGTAACTATTAACCAGTTACCAATTTGTATAAAGTGTGCAATTAGTAATATGCAGGGTGTACATGTTCAAGTCATAATATTTATAATAAACTTTAAATAATTTGCTGATGAGTGAAAAGTTAAAATTGTATTTTTTTATTTACTGTTCTCGCCATATACAAGGTTTGTCAATAAATCCAGATACATTGAAGTACACTAACATCCTCCAGTTGCAACTGATGGAGTTATCTGAGACCAATAACATGTTCTTAAATCTGAGACCACTAACGTGTATTGTTCTTAAATCTGAAACCACTAATATGTTCTTATTTTTCTCCCTTTTCTACCCTTCTAACCGTTTCCCACCCCTATGTGATGACTTAGATTGATGTACAGTAGTAAGTACAAATTAAACAATGCATTTATACTCAATGACATAGTCCAATGAAACACATAAAACGGGCTTAATGTTTTTCTGAAGAATGAGAAGTTGACTTAGCAGTAGCCAATAACAATGCAGAGGAAAAGTTTCTGTGAGGTTTCTGTGGCGTTTTGTGCCACTTGATGAAGATGAGTCGTCACATATGGGTACGAAATGGCTTTAATAGTAGAAAATAACATGCCACTGGTGTTAGAATATAAATCAACTTGCTTAGTTTGTGACTGGAGTGCAATGGAGACCTTAGTTTAAAACAATTAGTATTAATATTTTGTTTTATTTTTTATAGACACAAAAACAAATTCATGTTGTGAGACACTTGTATTGGTTGAGATATTCTTATGCTGAGAGACTTAGATTTTTTTTCTTTGAACAAGCTGGCAATTATTAATAGTTACTACAATACACCCTGCATATTAAGTTAGAAATGATGTTTTAAATATATTTAACATTGTTAAGACTGTTTGTTACAAGTAGAAAACTGAAAAAGTTAGGATTAATTTTATGTTTATGTTTTATGGTTGTAAATATTGTACAAGAGTGTATGGATGGAAAGAATATTATTGAGTTTTTAATTTGTAATTTAGATACACAGTTTTAAGATACTAAAAAAATCTAATTATTTTCTTCTATCTCTAAACCTATACAGTATGCTTTTCACTATTGCTTTAACTTCAAATAACTATTTTAGTTGGTATAAAAATGTTTTACTTTCAATAAACATGCATGTTAGTGTGTTTTTTATTTACTTTTGTGGTTTTAGCATTCGTATATCTCCTTTTTATGGCCTTAAGTACACGGATGGGCACACGGGAGGGACTATGGCTAAAGGTGTGGTGACGTCATATCTCTAGTGACCAGGGTCGTCCCTAGGGTTGGCGGCGCCCGGAGCAAACGTGGTTGTGGCGCCCCCTCCCCACCAGTAGTAGTAGCATTCGCATATTATATTGTAATACTATGTTAATACATTGCGCGGCGCCCCCTCCCCACCAGTAGTAGTAGCATTCGCATATTGTAATACTATGTTAATACAGTACAAATAGCCGCTGCACGGCGCCCCCTCAGCATCGGCGTCCGGGGCAGGTTGCCCCCCCCCTCTTCGGACAGTCCTGCTAGTGGCTAATGTCTTCTCTTGAGGCAACACCATTACCGACACTGTAACGAAACAATTTGTTTCCAGTGGCGTTCGTGGCACAGTTGATAGCGTGTCGGACTGGTGTTCAGGAGGTCTCTGGTTTCAAAACCAGCCGGGGACACTAACTTTTTGTAACTGTACATCTTTTGTTAGAATTTGATGCATTTATAATTTTATTTATGAACAGCACTTTTGTTTAGGTAATAGTAAACCTTTATTAGATTTTATCTCATATCTTTTTTATATTATCAGCCAGATTGGTTGGTTAGGTTAGGTTATGACAGTTTAATTTTATAATACTAAATTTTAAAATTAATTTTATAATTAAAAATTTAAATTCATTAGATTTTTATCCTATATATTTTTTATATTATCAGCAAGTTTGGTTGGTTGGGTTAGCTTATGACAGTTTAGTTTTATAATTAAACATTTTAAAATTTATTTTATAATTAAAATTTTTTTGTATAGTTAAAAAGTTAATTTTATAACTTATAATTTTAAAAAATAATTTAAATTTTTCAACTTAGCGGTTCTAGCGGCGAACGCTGACACTACAAGACATGTTAGCCATAGTCCCTCCCCTGTTCCCCACCGCTTAAGTACAGAAATAAGTTTACAAAGGTTACATTAACTATGTTACTTCTCAACATAGGTTTCTTAGTCATCAGCTGTACAGGGCGGGTAAAAAGTCCTTGGTCACTTAAATATCTCAAAAAATGATAAGCTTTAAAACTTGGTACACAGTTACTAGGCATTAAAAGAATTTAACACATTATTCAGTAATACGCTACTCCTTCAGGGGTTTGGTTAGGTTTGTTGGTATTACCTTTTCAGTTGTCACATTTATTTTTACATGATATTTTTGTTAGTATTTTTTTACATTATAAAAATGAATTATTTGTGAAATGGATTTCAACTTTTAACTAAACCATTACTGTGTATTGCCTGCTTGTGTTAAGTGAACAACAAATTTGGTATATTGGATCTAGATAAGGTACTTTTAATTTCAATAACTAATGTTATATACTTAGGTTGTACAATTTGTATTGAGAATGTTGAGTTGTTTACATGTTATGAATTGTAAAGAGTTTTTAGTTCAATTCTATAGTGTAAATATAATGTTCCTTTTGGTTGTTAATACAATTTCTGTAAAAATAATATATTTGAGTACTTCTGTTCTGCCACCCTGAGCTAAGATATATGATTCGCTCCTTGCTTTATAGTGGTAATCGATTAGGTGCTTCTGTAAAATCCCACTAAACTGAAGTAAAATACTGATTGGCTCTATCTTTTGTTATGATGAGCCTCTTAGACACCTGAAACCAGTCTATAATTGAATTTGCTTTGAGGACCATTATTGAACCGTCGATGTATTTGTCTAAACCAATACGGTACCATAATTGTAAATTGTATTTGTATCAGTTTTCTGCCTCTAGTAAAAGTTAAGTTTAAAAAAGATCTTAAAATCCATCTTTCTTAGTTTTGTTACCTGTTTTTGTGAAAATCATTAGTTATATCTCCAATGTGCAATTTTTGAATTGAGAACGTTAGTCAGTTCGATCCATAGAAATTTCAGTTTGTTCATGTTCAGAGCTGGGTCCAGCAGCCTTTGTTTATAGAACTATTAATAAATGCTCCTGGCATCCTTGGAAAGCTACTTACTAATTCTTTATAATTTTCACTATAAATCATACCCTTTACCTATCAATCTAATCAGCTGTGATCTCACCCATTTTGAATTCATGTCCAGCTTAAAATACAGACTAGTTAGTGGTTCTGTTTCAAAAGAAATAATGATGATAGGGTGAATAATGTAAGGAAGAACTCAACTCCTTCAACAATAATATCTTTTATTTAAAATGTTATAATAATTCTATTACTTTACTAATATTTGCACAAGATTTACATAATGCACAAAAATAAACAACACAACGGCCAAACTATTTACAAGCAATTCAAAAACTAGAATTGGTTCAACTTAAAATTATGTAACTGGTAAAATACAATAGAAAAACTTAAACTTAAAGCAATACAGTCTTTAATATGTAGTCAACGTACAATACTTGAATAGCATCATAATTGATGCCTAAAGTCCAGATATGCAGATAGTTTACGACCAAAGTTTATTTTACCTGATCCAAACAAAAAAGATATTTTTAACTATCGTACACCTATAAGATAACAATGAAAGGCAGTTTTATTAACTAATAGACTAAATCAATATCAAAACAATTAAAGAAAATAACTTTAAAACAAAGTTATTTTTGTTTCTTTGGTTTCAAACAAACCACAAAAACCAAGTCGGATTCAACCAATTTAAGTGTGGAGTAAAAAAATACTTTGAATGAAGTCACAAAAATGAAAATCAGCAAAACGTCAAACCACAGCCTCTAACATAAGCTTAGATTACATAACCATGGCCTCACTAAAATACATTTTGATTTGTCTTGAAGAACTGATTTACGAATAATTTGTATGGTTACATTATTTTTAGGGCTTCATGGGAGGATGGTTACACAAACTCAGAACCATCATAGATGTTCATTTCATAGCCACCAGACTTCCCGAGGGGCGGATTAAAATTATAATATGCTTGCACAATAGAGGTTGCAATGATTGGGTAAAAAATATCAAATGTACATTATTATACCTAAGTTTAAATTTGTTGCCTTTTTCCAATGACTTGGCATTTTTCAAACTCAGCACCTTTGGTCCACATTATGTTATTTTTTGGGCTGTATTTCGTATACTAGCACAGTTTTAATCCATCCAACGTACATAAAATTTGACCTTTCTCTACACAAAAATACAAAATACTACCCGGTAAAACTTTGGGCCCTGCATACCAACCTCTCCCATAACCATTAAGCATTTCCAAGTAAAATACAGTCGATAGGTAGCTAAAAGTCGGCAAGGCGCTAACTTGCTGCCAATAAGCTCATTTTAATCGCAACAATTATTTTGAACAATACACAACTTATGAACACAATAGTACATTATTTTAGTCCAGAAAATAGGTGTATTGATAAATCTTCAACGAGTGACGAATGATATGTTTTGCCATACTACTCTAAATTAACATAACAATAAAAACAAGTCAAAATCCATTAACCTATGTGTTCTAACCAACTTAACCCTTAAGCGTGTGCGCTCATTACGCTGGATCGTGCACGGAGGTCTAGTGGACCCCAAAATAAAAATGGGTATAAAAAAGTTTATGATAATTAACACTTTAAACGTAATATCTACATTCATTTTCTCATATTGTTACGTAAATTTTAAGATCCTACCATATACTTTTAGTAATTTGAAAATCATAGTTTGAACCTTTCATTTGTTCATGATGAAATGTAATAATGGTGTTAAGTAGGGGGAAATCGTAACTAAACAAGTTTTTATTGCAAACAAGTAAGTATTATTTTTTTACAAAAGTATAATATTTGTAAAAAACCATGGAAGCGGTAAAAATGTCATGAATTGGGAGTTAATAGAAAATAATGTACAATAAATTAAGGAAATTAAAAACTTTCTTTGATAGTGTACTTATATTTTTCTTTAAAAATCCTCGTCCTGTGGTTGGTTTAGAAGTACTTTTAAACACACTACATAATATTTTACATTTGTCCCTGGCACATTGATTTTTATTTAGGTTTACACTTAATTTTGATCTTGGCGTCTTTCTGTCATCATCAGACGGTGCACCGCACCTTTGCACTGGGAGGCTGAGTTGATTCTATGGTTGGACATTTCCATCAAATTGGTTTACAGATACTAAGTTTTTTGGCAAACTTTCAATACTATGAAAATTATAAATAATGAAGTAATCAATTTATTAATACTGATACACTACTGTGCGAATGGGGTTAAACTAGACCCCCCGATGAACACAGTACCGGTAACACAAACACGCGCATGGGGGTATGCCAGACCCAGGGTGGTGTTATCAGGTCAAGACTAACAACCCTGCGGCCAGATCATGCTCACCAGGGTTGCCACCATACTTGTAACATTATGACAAAATTATCTTACGTGGGGGTATGTCATACCCCCCCACGCGTGGTTAAGGGTTAAGAACTTAACAGCTAATACAGTATTCATAACTTTTCCTAGAGTTTATGTTTTTTGTCTATAACCTACTGACTGTTGTTTTCGTTTATAACCCATGGACTATTAGACTACTGTATGTGGTTACAAACCTTTTTGTGATTTTATCTTTAGAAAACTAGGTAAGTGTGTAAATTTTGTTACGTTGATAATTATTTATGTTTAAAAAAATCGGATATAAGGTTCTCAATAACTGGGAATAATTATAATCAGACGGTGTCTGGCAAAATGCATTACGGTAGTAAATAATGAGAAGTACATAATGAGATCCCATGTATGTGACTCAACAGAATGTGAACAGCTGTTTTCAGAATAAATTTATACGTTGAAAGTCCATTGAAATAGAGAAGTGGGGCAAAAACTAACCATCCATTTGAACTAATTGAGTTTTTCTTACATTCATTTGATCCTCTATTTTAAGTACCAATATTTTTTCATCACTACCATTTTGATTATCAAAATTAGTTTTGATCTATTAAAACTAACAACTAAGACTTTTATCACAATGTAAAACCAAAACAACAATACTCAAGACTTAGCAACACTAAACAATAAAGTTACTACTATTGTATTCACCAATTATTATATTCACCAAGTGAATATAAATAAAAGCAATCATCACCATTAAAAAATGACACTAACCAGAACATAAACTAAGACTTAAAGCCGTATAAAAAGTGAGAAAAATATATATTTAATGTCAAGTCTAACAATAATACCTTAGATCTCACTATATGACTTAAAACAAGTCCTATTTAAGTAAATATTCTGATATTTTTACACAATATTGTTAAACTTCGTACAAGTTATGCTACATAGACTAACACTATACACGCATTAAGGACTACGCCTAAAAAGGCCAAAAAGGTTTAAAATACTAAGCTAATGTACAATGTAGGACACTATATAAGAATAAAAATTTTATGGTAGGTATTACGGTTTAACCATAGTTTACAACATATGTTAACAAGGTAGACAAGATATTTTCAAAGTTTTGAAAATATTATAAGTTGTTTTTGTAGATGTAGCACCTAAATACTCCTTAAGATTGAAAAAAGATTCAATGGTGATTATAAAGTGTCTTTTACAGTGATGGAAAATTTCCACGGTATCATTTGTTAGGCTACAGCATTTAACCTAGTCAACAATGAACCTTCATAAAAATCAGTACAATCGTGATATAGGCCTATCAATAAGTAATTGTAAAATTTTTTTATAAAATGGATTAAAACAAGCAGTTTTGAAATATCTTTGAAGAAATTAAGGTATAAATTTAAAATTGCATAAAGAAGAAAAATTCATAAAATATAATAATTGAAAATCTAATCTGTGTTTTTGCAAACTGATGGTAAATTACCCTTGTCCAATTTCCTTTCTTTAAAGAAGAAAAAACACACACATCACTGAAAGACGATTAAGTTTACCCAAATGGGATTAAAATGTAAAATATGTATTGTAACAAAACAATGTGGTACTGTTTGCGTCTCATGATCATTATGTTAAAAAATCATCATCCATCCTGACTCTTATTGTAAACATGAGAAAACAATACAAATTGTTAGAAAAAACCAATATTAAAATATTTGCGCCTTATTTTACTAAGTAACTACAACCAACACAAAAGTGTTGGACCGTTAAAGCACCAGTATAACCATAATTAACATATTTATCAATTTTAATACTGAATGATTTGAACTCAGTCATCAGTAGTTATAAATAAATACAATGATAAATTACAGATATTACAACTTATAACAAGTGTAAACAAATTAAAGAGACCTAATCAACCAATATTATATAAGCCTAAGAAAACAGCATCTTAATATACATAATTTATTATTGGATACTCAAAAAGATAACATTTTTAACAAAAAGATGGATAAATCTTACAACTGTCTTTTGCATCCTATTCTAGGTCAAGAGCTACAAAATGAAAAGTTAAAAATGAACAATGGGTCTAATTAAAGCTAAAAGATTTGTTAAATTCATCACTGTGTAAAACTATAACTTACTAAGTGAAATGTAGGCTTTTAAACGGTTTCTTTTCCTTGGTTGTCAATGCTGAAAACAAAAAGTAACATTTTGAAATAATTCATTTAACTGTTAATGCTGTTATTGACATCAGAGCAAAACCTAGAGCGTAGTTTTGGTTTCATTGTTCACAACAAATTACAACAAACAAGTAGCATGTTTAAAAGCTAAGGTGTAGGATTTGCTAGTAGAAGAAAAAAAAGATTCACCCATCAATTGATAGGTTTTTATTCATTGTAAATTGTATGGACCAAATGTGAAATGTTATTTCTCTTTTCTCTCAATCCTTGAACCTCGTTGGTCCGTTACTTGTGTTGTAAAGTAAAACCACAATGCTGTTAAGTAAATCTTTTCAATTCTTAGAACTGAACTGCAATGGCTAGTTTAAAAACTGTTGTAGGTAAAATGATGTAGTAGGCTATTTTTGAATTCAGCGTAAAAAAACCAAAAAAGCTGTAAGTAGGCTAACTTAAAATAAAATTTTAAAATCCGTGAGAGTACATTCAAAATTTTGGTAAGACCTTAATGAATAAGTAAGTAACCATTTCTGAAGTAAAATGAAAACTTACGTTGTATTTTGCCTGTTCTCAAGCAGAGCTCTTGACTTTTCATCACCAATGAGGAACATAGCTTCCTCGTACGAGGGTGGTGGGGGTTCTGAAGGTCCGACGGCTGCCCCCATTAGTAGATCATAGGAGGGAGGCAGAGTCAAAGTGCTTGGAGTTCTCGTCATAACAGAGAGAGTACAAACCCCATGCTGGCCCTGTTGTGCTATCTCCTGTAGTCCCTGGACATGTAGCACATTATCAATTTTACCTGATTTAATTATGTCAGTATTTAAGATCCAGAACACTAACAGGACAAGTAAATCGATTCTCCCTAAGTTTATGAGTTTACCTTTTTTAAATTTGAACTGGGAATTCAATGAATTTGTCTGTCAATACCTAATGCGTATAACAAGTAGGATTTTAAGGTAAATACATATTTAAATATAGACCTAGGTAAATCACAAGATTAGTATATTCAACGTAAAAATGACAAATTATTAACATTTTGTTTTGTTACAATAAAAATAAAATACCCCCCGCCGCAGCAAACCTGCAGACTAGGCGAATTTTTAGGCTGCACTATACTTTAGGTATACTCATAGGGTACGCTACTACTACACTCATTCGAATGAAAATATTGATCGATATATCGTTTATTCGATAAGTTATACGCGTCCGGTACCCGGACGTGGATTAGGCGTCCGGCAGTTACTGTCATAACCTAACCTAACCAACCAAACTTGCTGATAGTGAAAAAAATCAAATGAAGGTTCAATTCTCTTCGTAACATAAAATTATAAATGCCAAAAATTCTAACAAAAGATGTAAAGTTAAGAAGGAATTACGTTCAAAGCAAAATCTAAAAAGTTAAAGAAACCGACGGGTTTCGAACCAGGGACCTCTTGGATATCAGCCGAGCACTCTATCCACTACACCACGAACAACGCTGGCCGAACATCGTATCGTTGTGGTAATGGCGTTCCGGGACCCAACAACCTGGTGACATCACTACCGGACGCCTAATCCACGTCTGGTTACCGGACGCGTATCCTCTGTGTAAGTTATATCGTTTGGTTAGTTAGGTAAGGTTAACCTAACCTAATTAACCAAACGGTATATCGAATGAAACAATTGAATAATCGATATTTTCATTCGAATGAGTATAGGACCTAAAGTAAAGTGCAGCCGGTCTAGACATACCCTCATTTGTTCACTTGAATACACCCTAAGCTTTGCTAATCAGGAAAATCCTGGTGAATTTCGCAAAACTGACAGTAAAAATCAACCCCCAATTAAACGTAACTTACCCTTAATAAAGTCCTCTGCCGTAAAAGCATCTGAATAACACTCTTTCTTCTCAAGTACAAAATGATTTTTACTGCAACCATTATTCCAGAACAACATAATATTGGGCCTACCAACCACATATGACCGAGGTGGAGGTACAAATAATCACCCCCACTTAATGCCAACACTGTTATAAAAGATCCAAAAGTAAAAAATAAAACTGAGAGGACAAAATATGAATATGACGTGCAATCACAATCTCCTAGGGCTGGAGGTTCTGGATACAATTCTTCCATTTGCCTAAGTCTCTGCCTAAAATAATTGTTGTTAACCAACATAGTACCCATTTTGGTTGATTTTCTTGAAGAAAAATAAGTTTAAGAGAAGGTGTCTATATTCACATCGGAAATGAAACTTTTGAAGGAATTGTCTTCTCATTAACCTATTAAACACAATAATATTATGTTACTGACACTGTGACACAGACACTGACAGTCAAGTGAAAGAAAAGAAAAAGGCCTAGCCAAAGCCAAGCCAAGTTTGCATTTTTGCATTGCACATAAACATAAACATGGAAAAGAGAAAAGAACATGAACTTCAGCAAGAACTTGAACCAGTGTTACCAATTCAATTCCAGTTTGGTGGTGCCGGTACCACCTTGGCCACCTAAAAAGGTAAATAACGGCCACCTCTAACTCCAGGCCGCGGCCTGGTAGAATTGGCAACGTTGCAAGTGGTGTTGTTTAGTGTCAGACGTCCCATAAGATAACATGGCAGACAGGTGAGACCCATTCATTAATTCGCGTATTATTCGTTTAAATTAAAATTTAAAACAATATGAATTGAAAAATATATATCTGTACATTAAGGCAGAGCCAATTAACTTTCATCGTCCAGTAAACAAGCTTTCAGCTTTCGTAAATACACAAATACCATTAGCTGCTTCCAAACAAAACAGCTGTTACAACCCTACTTGCGACGTTGCCACTTCGAATGCCGCTGCCTGGAGTAAAAGGCGGCCTTGGGTAAAATACAGCCACCTAAACGATATCAGCAATCTAATCTGACAAATAAGTTACTTTCTCCCATAAGCTTGTCAATGAGCCTTTATCATGGGTAAGTGGTGAGAGTAACAATGATATTTTTGTAGAAGGAAAGTTGCAATATCTTTTCTTCCTTGAATTATTTTTACAAAATTACATACGTTTTGTGACAAAAAAACAATGTAGCAGGTGTAATATCAGGTTTTATGTACGAAACCACGATAAAGAACAGAAAGCTTTATTTGGTCTCATAATAAATAAATATTCATGGACAACGATCGTTCGAAACAACGAAAGCACAGCAGTTTCATGAAGTAAACAACATGGTTCAAAAATACATCTTCAGTCTTTAAATATGTTTAATTTTTTTAACAGCTGTTTGTTTGATACTGCAACAGATATAAAGTCAATGCTGCAACGCAACTAACTTCAACTTCGCACTTCCCATCCCATCGATCAAAACAAAACACAGCACGCAGATCCTGTCCCTGTCGTCAGATTAGATTGCTTGCAACCTGCAGCACTCCTGCCCAATCCGTGTCCGCCGGTCGCCCGGGGATCGCCGCGCCGCAGTTCGTTCCGTTCGAGTTCGCAGCCGCAACGCAACCCTCCTATTTTTGTACTTCTCTGTTCTCACTCTCTTCTCAGCAGAAGAAAAGAAACAAACGTGACATTTTGAAGATGTTTTTATTTTAGAGCCTGTTATTGAAGTGTAACTAACACCATTTGCCAAGTTAAGCTTTTAAAACAATGGGTATATTAGAAAAAATATCTGAAATAGAAAAAGAAATTGCTCGGACTCAAAAAAACAAAGGTAAAGTAGCATACTAAGTTAAACAAATTAACCTAACCCCTAAATATAACTGCAGATCAACTTACTATTTTTCTTATAAATAAGCAACTCACAGTTAGGGCCCTGTGTAATTTTTCAATGATTTAAAACGTACCTACTTTATTTTACTGAATTTATAACGCACAACAAATAAACACAATTTACCTCAAAATTGTAGGTTAGGTTTTCTAAAGCCACAAAAATCTAGTGGCCTAGGCCTATCTAATACTGTATTTAAGAACAATGTGACCAAAGTTTCGAGTCAAGTTGGCATGAGAAGAAGACGTCTTGCTTGATTGTCTTGAACATTACAGTTATTATTGCTTCGATTCAATTATATCAATTATTTAAGACGGGGACGCCACTATGTGCATATTTAAACTCAAATATGAGTGAAGGATGAGTGGCGCGATCTTGTAGTCTTGTTAGTGACTAAGGCCGACATATTCCTTAGACACAGCTGTTAATTAATAGTCCAAACAGCCAATGGCAACTTAGGGACCTACAGTTTATAGTGAAATCCAAACCACATTCTTGCCTTAGTATTAACGAATTGGTCTAATTATCAGGATAGTACTAACTGCGGATAGCCGTAGTACTCACTAGTACGGACGTTAATCCACACCAGGGAGTACCTTATCCACAGTGTATCCTCTATAAATTCCCACAATTCATGACCTCCAAGTATCTGGATTACAGGACGACGTCACCTTCCCAGAACTTTATCATATTATTTCAATACAGCTAGTGTTTGAGCTACAACAGCCCACACACCTTCTACCCTCAAAATCGGTATTTCTGGACTTTCTTTCATCTTTAGGTAAGTTAACTTAAAAGATTTTTTTAAGGTGCGTAAAAGGTATTCTTGGATATCTCCTAGAAATGAAGAGTTTAACTTCACTACACACACTAGTCACATCTCTAACATAGGCCCTAGGCCCTACTTATTGAGGAAAGCCTTGACAGGTGGTGCTAGTATTTTTATTTTAGTAAAAATAATGAAATGTTTCAGCTACTGAATACCATCTTGGAGTATTGAAGGCAAAGCTTGCTAAGTATAGAGCTCAGTTGCTAGAACCCTCAAAAAAATCTGAGAAAGGAGAGGGATTTGATGTCTTGAAATCTGGAGACGCTCGTGTAGCTTTAATAGGCTTCCCTTCAGTCGGTAAAGTAAGCTAAATCAATTTGATTTTATATAGCCTAGCCAATAAGATCATTAAGCTGTGAACTAGGTACTTTCCTGTTAAGGGGAACGTTCATTATTAGTGATGATTTTTTAAGATATAAGTTATCGATACAGTATTTTTTTTCCTTTACGATCCATATTCCTTCTGTTTTAATAGGTATATTCAATCGCATTTAAATTATAAATTAACAACTGATCTTGTTTAGTCAAAAATAATATACCGGTATATGGATTAAGAAATTAAACTGTCTAAACTAAAATGACTGAACAAACTTGCGGTACCATCTCAAAATTCCGTTTGATAACAGAAAAGGCATAGGCCTATGGGGAATATCAAACAGAATTTTGAAATGGTAAGTTTACAGCAAGTTTGGCTGCCTATGTTAGGTTGGTTAAGAACAGTTTCATTTCAATATAACTTAATTTTTTTTGTCTATACGGAACAAAATGCCCACCCTCTGCTAATAGTACTGTCTCCGAGCATGAACGCCTTAGCCTGCTTGGCTGTTGATCAGTCCTGTCTACCACACTAACAAACAACACAAATCAACAGACAGCTAAAAGACCTTTGAGTAAGTTTAAATATTCAACAGAAATCGGTATTTTATATCTGCACACACTGCCATTTTTTATTCTACAATTGGCAACAACTTTATAGTATTGAATGATGTATAGTACTATAAATGTCAAAGGTCAAACTCCAAACCTGTTGGTTTTTTCAGTCAACCCTGTTGTCTACCTTGACGCACACTGAGTCGGAGGCAGCATCGTACGAGTTTACAACACTGACGTGTATCCCGGGCGTAATTGAGTACAAGGGTGCCAACATACAGCTGCTCGATCTGCCAGGAATCATTGAAGGTGCATCGCAAGGCAAAGGAAGAGGAAGACAGGTTGGCATATTTGATAGGCTAGGGAATCATTGATATTGATCTTTTTTAGCCCTAGTTATTATGCATTAATGTACTAGGTTTACATGTTCATGACGCAACATCCACTGGCGCCTGTCTCGTGTGTTCGTCCCTTGGCCAAGTTTGTAAATTTGTGTAATTTAAATGTTGTTTTTTGTGTACTTTGTGTTTAATAGACATATATATCTCGACAAATTCATCCACGGATGAATGCGCTTTTTATCTAACGTTCTTCTGACATCCTGAAGATGTGCCCTAGGGACATGAAACAGCTGTAGTTGAGGCTAACTTCACAATGATCGTTTGATGCAAAAAGGTAACATAAACCATTTTTATATTGCAATTTACCATCCAGAGGCTTACCCACCATAAATTAACCTCTTTTTTAATATTAAGTGACTCGAGACTACACAAAAATTAAACTTGCTTATTCAATGACGCAGTCATCACTCGAAGACCTAGATATGACAATCTGCTGTTACATTGGAAGCCTATCATCTAAGTATCGTATTGTTCTTCTTACTTTATTTTAAATATCAAATGCTCTAAAGGCTCTATTTACCCTTCGTTTAAGATCACCTTCAGCTTTATAATCTAATGGTTTTCTTGTTTAGGTCATCGCAGTAGCTCGAACAGCTGATCTGGTGCTCATGATGCTGGACGCAACCAAACAAGACGTTCAACGAGCCTTGTTGGAGAAAGAACTGGAAAGTGTGGGAATCAGGCTGAACAAAGAGAAGCCCAACATTTACTTTAAGGTAGGGGCCTATGTAGTATCATTATTATATTACCAATTGAGATGTGGATTCCACCTAGGTCCATATTTTAATCATTAAGTAAATAATGAGTGTTGAATGGAGTGAGATGCCTTGTGTAGCTTTAATATTAAGAGTGGCTGATTCATTAACAAGGGCCATTTATTTAAAGCCCAATGGTTGAGGACAGCAGGAATTGTTTATCTTTATTTTTCCAATCATTGTACGTTTGAGATGGGTATTTACTACATTTATTTACAAAGGTCAGTCAGTATATGTCTTTACCTGTCTTCAACTCTCCTCTTCTGATAAGAGATGAACAAAATAGACAGATTTATATTTAGATTTAACAACTCGCTGACAAATGTCAAATTCACTATCTTTGTTAACCTATGGTGAAATAGAAATCTTGAAATCTTAATTTCATCCTATTTTGTTTCACCTTTAATAGCGCTCTATGTATCATTCATCCAGGTTGTACCAGTTACATTCTTTGCTGTAAATTCCATACTTCTGCCCCAGAAGAAACTATGATCTACGTCTTATTTTCCTATTTTTGTCTTCGTTGGTGCCTCACACATTAGTTGAGCCTTGCACCCCTCCGCAGTTAATCAGTGATTTGAAACAACCTCAAGTAATAAAATTTTTTTGCCTTCTTAAAATTGTTTATAACTGAATAATATTGTTACAAATTCAGGTGAAAAAAGGTGGAGGAATAGCATTCAACTCGACATGTCCACTGACCAAGATTGACGAGAAACTGGTCCAGATGATCTTGCACGAGTATAAGATCTTCAATGCAGAGGTGTTGTTCAGGGAAGACGCAACGGCAGACGAGCTGATAGATGTGATCAGCGCCAATCGAGTGTACCTACCTTGTTTGTATGTCTACAACAAGATAGATCAGATTAGCATGGAGGAAGTGGACAGATTGGCGAGACAACCACACTCGGTCGTTGTCAGGTGAGATATAGTAATGAGAGACCGATTGAAAAAAAAACTGATTCTGATTCTGAAAGATGTGTTCTTGTTCAAGATTCCGAAGTTCCAAGTTTTTAAAAAGTTAAATGTATTTGATTTTTTAGCAAATTTGTAGCTAATACCGTACACAGTAAAACTTAGACAGGGATCGATATACTTATTAATTTTGAAGTCTCCAGAGGCCAAAAAAGCAGCCTCTGTTATACTATATAACACACTCATGGTATATTTTGTGTTGAACCCCATAACTCGGAGCAATCCTAAGTTTGTATAGGGGTTTATATCACCTTGATACTGTCCAAAACGATCCTATGTAGCTCGTATGACTACAGCTGTTTCGTGCTTCGGATGGAGCACATCATCAGGCCTGAAGATAGTCAAGTACTGTAATCATAGAATATTCCTCAGGTTGGAGTTCATAAAAAGTTTATAAGTATATAAATAACACGACAAATAACGCAAAACAATACATTTTAAACTGGTTTACCAGACTGTAACAAAACAGGTAGTACGGTGCCCGCTGAGGGTAAGTTGTGACTGACTGAATTCAGACGATCCAGAGGCCATTCCATCATGAAATCCTAGGTACTCATGAAACCTAATGCCCATTTGAAATCTATATATTAATTTGAAACTGTTTTTCTTTGTGACAGCTATTTTGGGAGAACGGCTGGGCGTAGAAACTCGGTAGGAATGTCTAAAGAAAGGTCCTGGTCTGTAGATGAGCCATCAAAAGAGAAACATGGAGAATTCCCTCGGGGCTCTGCCCCAGTGGCCTTTAAATTCCCATCCCATGTTATTCTTATGGAGGAAAACGACGTTTTTGTCACAACTAATTTGAGAGAACGGCTGGGCGTAGAAACTTGGTAGGAGTGTCTAAAGAAAGGTATTGGTCTGTAGGTGAGCCCTCAAAATAGAAACGATGTAAATTTCCTTGGGGCTCTGCCCCAGAAGCCTTTAAAGTTGCCTCTTCAGATTTGTTTACATTACGACCATATGCATAATTCTACACTACTTTTTAATGCAACAGCTGTTAATATTTAAATTGTGATTTATTGAATTTGTCAAAATGAAGTACAGTATTTGCAATGGATTTTTCTGATTTTAAAATTGATTTTCTTCTGCATCGTGTCATGTTTTGCAATATAATGTTCTATTACCAAATCAGTGGAAAATCCTAATATCACAGTAACTTTTAAAATTATTTGTTATGGAGTTAACTTATATCATCTATTGTATGGGTTGGTTTCTGTCTTTTTTACCACTTCTTGGAGATTGTACGTGGGTGATATTCTTTGGCATATTGCATCTGTAGACGAAACTTGGGTTGGTGTAATAATTACAATGGAAAAGAGCGAGAAATCCTGGACAATTTGATATAGGCTCAAAATAAAAAAAATTGCTCGAATTCGAGCAACAGGTACACTAGTATGGAATGAATTTGACACGCTTAAAGAAGTATCTCGGTAAAAATCCAAATTAAATTTGCTTAGTCTGCAAGTTTGCTGTGGTAGGGGTATTTTTTGGTATTAAATAATTGAGTAATTATTCAATCATCTTGAAAGATCCTTTGGGGTTGGGTTTAACTACGATTTGTGGTGATGGCCACATCTTTAAGTACATTTTATCCTAGAATTTGTTAACAATAAAATTTTACACTGAACAAAAGACACAGGCTGATAAATAGTTGCACTTCACACAGAAACTCTAGATTGATTTGATCAGTCACGGTGAGTACACATGTTTGGTAGCAACATTGTTTGGTATGTCTAGTTCAAGATCACACGATATGCCGATCAGCGGTTCGTTGTCTCTATTATAATTAGGATATCAAAAAATTAATTTCCTTAGCTATTAAGATTGTTTTAACAAACACTCCAGCTGGAAAGAACCTTGTTTGAAGATGTGAAGTGACAAAATATCTTACAGTTGCAACATGAAGCTCAACCTAGACTATTTGCTGGAATCGCTATGGGAGGAGCTAGCTCTAATACGAGTGTACACCAAGAAGCCGGGACAGCCGCCAGACTTTGACGATGGATTGATCCTGCGGCGCGGTGTCACGGTAGAACATGTCTGCCACTCTATACACCGAACACTTGCGGCTCAGTTCAAGTACGCTCTTGTCTGGGTGAGTGTTTCCAATGATTATACACTTTCTAGACAATACACTTATGGCTTTATGAGACAGGGAAGGTAAAAAGACTGCATCTTGTGTGGCTAGATCGCAACACCAAAATCTGAGAGCGACTTACGTTCTTCGGGGGGAAAAGCTAAAAATATTAGAAATTGGAACAATTGTAGTGATAATCAAAGGTTAGGGCAATGTAGTTCAAACCAAACATTGAAATTGGCTCAATAGGCCTACTTGTGAAGAATAGTGGTACAGTAATTGGTTGGGAGTTTCTTTTGTGGTGTGGTTGTTAGCATAGTATTTTTCAAATCAAACCAAATCTTTATTCATCATTAAATAACATGAGTTACAATAGATTCCGGCAAAATATAATAATGTAAATACCTTGAAGGCAACTCCAAACATGACTAGGCCAACAGCATGACAAATGCACCCGGTAAAGAATTTGGTACCCCGGTAAATAAGTTAACTTATTGAATAAATAAATACATGTAGTGTATTGCAAATTGACATTTTCGAACCTTACACAAAAGGTGTTATGGAAATAAATAAACAGCTCTGCAATTAAAGCTACCCCTTGGCCTAGTTCTCATTATTACTCACTTGCTGTTTGAATAGCTGCTTAATTTTTTCGATTGCTGCTCAGTAAAAATACACGCACTCAGTAAACTACAGTTAGGTGAGTTTTACTTTTTCACTCGGACAATTTTCAGTGTAAATATCACAAGACAGTGTCTACAGGTATTAGTCTCTTGTAAAAGACCCCAACATTACAGTTAAACGTTCTTTATCTATCTATTGACATTACGTATCACTTATATTTTAGCCCTTTATTATCTTATGGAACACCCGAATTCGGTTAACGGGGGGGTTCTACTGTATTTATTTAACCCTCCGAGCGTCACTCGTCGAAAAATCGACGCGCGACACACTTTGTGTAGTGTCACACATCGATTTTTCGACGCACGAACATCGTTTACGGCGAAGGCTCTATGACTGACTGAATCGGATTGAACTGGATCGAGTTAGGTATGGTTCTTTTCGTTATATTCTACGCTTTCTCCAGAGGTCTGTCTCTAAGCGCTTTATGTTCTCCGAGCCGATCGTAATTGTAGCAGACAGCTGACGTGCTTATTTGTAAGCAGCTAGGTTACCCTCGGACCGATGACTGATGTGTTTTATTACGTTTATCATTGTTTTAGTGTTAAAAATCAAAAGTAGTGATATACGTGGTGCATTATAAGAAGATTTAAGTGATTTTGAAGGGCTGGTTGATGATCCTGAAGAAGTAGGTAGCGATATTGATGTAAATTATCAGCCAGATTCCTAGCTATGGTTAGGCTATGCATTCTTAGCTAAACGCTATGTACTGAAATCTGTTTTTTGTCCATAACTTATTTATTTGCAAATCTACTTCCTTATATTATTATATATTTGTAATCCTCATAAAATTTAGAACAAAGTGGCTATTTTCAAATATTTATAGGCCTATAATTTATACAATTTCATTGAGCGTGAACTTATTTTTTTTGAAAATTTTCCTAAATTTTTTTTACCTAAAAATTTTTTTTGAAACAAATGTTCCTTATGTTTTATGTATAATATTGAAGCCCATGATTTTCCAAATAAAATGGTATATAGAACAGTAGAATTAACATTGTTTTAAGCTTCTCAGATCCGTTTTAATAAAACCTTGCAAATGCGCCAAAAATAGGCGGACATTAAGGCCTAAACTATGGACACTCGGAGGGTTAATAGTAATTTAACATCCCTACCACTTGGCAGTAACATAAATTATTGTTCGAAAAACTATATTCATAACCTGTAAGCTAATCAAATTTGTATGGTGCAATTTCTGTATGTTCATGATAAACTTTGCAATAAATACCATAGTGTTCCTATTTTTTTTAACTGCAACTTCCCAGTTTAATCTTAGTTTTCCTTGAATATTGATTGCTTTAACACAGAAATGTCACCAGTTTTCTGATGGTTCAACAATGCGGTTGTGTCCCAAACTGTCTACTTTAACTGTGCCCTTACAGAGATGCTTGATGTTTCAGGGCACGAGCACCAAATACTCCCCACAAAGAGTTGGTCTCCAACACACAATGGCGGACGAAGATGTTATACAGATCGTCAAAAAGTGATTACTTTATACATCTTGTTTATATTATACATACATTTTCCAAAAGATGTTTATGGTTCTTACCTCTTTCTAATATCAGTTGTGAGTGTAACGTTTTCCCACAGTCACCTGACAAAGTGGGCTTTCTTGCACTAATAATAGTACAGAATGTTGCTGATTGCTGCATTTACTTACTTTTGCAACACACCAGTATAAAAAAAAAACAAAAAAACATAACAGCGTGCTTTTATTGGGCTTGTTATACTTGAGTGTTTGAAAAGAATGTGGCAACACTTACTTCGACTACAAACAGCTGTTGCAGTGTTTCCCGTTTCGTTCAACGCTTGAATAACCTAACCTTTATTTCTATGCTTCATAATAACTGTAGGAAAAATACAATGTGTAACTTGAGTGCAAATTGCCTTTTTCTACAGTCAACAAAGTGGGCTTCCTTGCACAGATCTTAGTACAGAAAGTCTTACTTTGGCGCACACCAGTATTCCAACCAAACAACACTAAACAGTGTGCTTTTATTATACACATTATCTGTGTACGATTGAAAATAAGTTGGTAACATGTAAAGATAAATAACTTCTTGATTTACACTTATACTGTTACTCACAAGACAGTAAATATACATAAAAGATGGTAAGTGGTGATCGATTTCAATTGGACACTCCAATCATCATCAGACCCAAAAGGCGAATGATTTACCGTCTTGTGAGTAAAAGTATAAGCGCAAATATATGTCAAGCGTTTCTTTAATTTACTTTCCCTACACTTAAAGATATTACGACTACGATCAGCTGGTGCAGCGCTTCCCATTTCGTTCAATAATTGGATCTTACCTAAACTAAAAACAAGTGGTACAGTGTTTGAAAGACTAATTATTCATATGAATTATGGTAACTGTAGGGAAAACATAATGTGTAACACGAGTGCAAACTGCCTTTGCTGCAGTCGAAAACTTTCTACACTCGCCTACGGCTTGTGCATTAACATTTCTCTCACGTGCAGCAAACTTTGCACACTAGTTATACAAATAGCTATTTCCATACTGTAGTAATGTTTTCCTACTTAAGCGTTTGGTGGTGACATTTTTGATTGATAGAGGAATAAATTAAACCAAAACACAACAGACATGAACACTGATTTATTTAGACACTACCCTGGGGCGAAACAATCGTAAGTGGAACTTATAATTTAAGTTACAAATAACCATAATCAAATGGATTTACCTAAAAGGCACTGGAGCGATGTCCAAGATGTGAAGTTCTAAATCTCTCGGAATGGATGGATCTTCCTTGAAGAGAACTATTCTAGGTTTGTACTATTACATATTGTGTTGGGTTCTTTTCTACCATGTGTTATTACAGATGAGTTTAACAGTTAAAAAAAATAATTGAAATCAAGAATAATAAAAGTGTTAGTGGCCTAGAGTGAATTTTTAAAGCAATTTAACTGACTTTAATCGTTAATAAAGATAATAATTCAACTCTAAATAAAAAAATGCAAATTAGCTATAGGCTTAGGAGATAAGACTATTTTTCTAAATATCAAATTTTAAATGTTAAAAATGAGAAAAGAACCCTTAAACATAAAACTAGAAACTGGAATATTTCACTGACAGGAGGCTAATAATTAACTGAGAGAACCAAGAAATAAATGTTTACGTTTGGTTCAAGATCAAGTTTTGGAAATTAAACCAACGAAATGACTTGTAGTTGAAATTTAGATGGGGTCTTTAAATAGATTTTAGATTTATAAATAGTTAACATCCTCCTCAAGATAAAAAACAGATTTGCTGAGAATTCTTTATACGAAAATTGATTTCTTTTCTATGGTTATTAGATGAAATTGAGGGAGTTAATACTTAATTTTCTCCTCACTACATAAAAACTCTGTTTTTTTACAAATGAAGAATTTATTGACACTCCACCAGTGGAACAAAACTGATTGCCTCAAAGAAAAATTAAATACAATTGGAATACACCCAAAGTTATCTATGGTAAAAATATTGGTTTTATTTTTCCAAACACAAGAAACAGTTATGTAGAAAAGAAATACAAAGATGATCGAATTAAAACGTTAAAAAGCCTATATACACACATTTATAATTGAATTTAAATGTCTATTTCCTATTCTAGACACAAACAGAAGTCACCTGGACATTGAGAAGTTGTTCTTCGCCTCAACGCTTGGCCCACCTGTAATCAGCCAATGTACCAAATCAGCCTAGTTCCACCAACAGCCAACAAAGAGAACAAGTCAAATACCTGAGTCTCGAAGGTCTGTAGATCAGTCTTCCGGCCCCTCGGCTCTGTCTGGATTTGCTTTCGCTTTTCTTTGACATGTCAAAAATATTTCCTCCCAGTCAGAAAAAATGTCAAAGATAATAAAAAGAAAATTAAATGAGGTTAGGAAATCTTGTCAGCTATAAAGCCAGTAGTCAGTAGATATAACTTCAACATAATAAACAGATAATATTTCTATTATGAACTTTATCCATCCCATTAGTGACATAACCTCCATAATATCAATGAACAGAAAACTATAAAAGGCAAGAATTTTAATCACAATTTAAAAAAAATCTGCTTTTGTTATACGGATTGAAGTTGTATAGTATAAATTATCTTGATTTTTAAGTAGAAAAAATAAATAACAACGTTAAAAGAACTTAAGGAATACCTGTCGAAAGCAAATCCTTATGAACAGAGTTGATATCTATAGAGGATTGAAAGTCTTTATTGAAAACTCAACACTTCTTTAATAGTGACAAACCTCTGATAGTAGTGGATACAATGAGCCGTATTAATAAAAAGAAGGATATGCTCAAAAGGAAAAGGTATGAAGCAAAAGCATTTGCTTCTAGTAAAAGGTAAAAGTAAAAGCATATCCTTCAAACCGTATTAATAATGATTACCTTTTACTTCCGAGCAAATCCTTCTGCTCGGAAGTAAATGGTTCTTTAGGAACATCACATGTTACACGTCTGATCCTGTCTATTTTTGTCTACTGATATCCCTCGAAGGCTTAACTGTGCCAACTCCGTGTAATGGTTTTGCATCTGGCTTTAAATTTAATCATAACAAACTAAATTATAAAATCTAGAGTGTGTGGGCCGGAATTTTACCCCGGATTTTACCCCTAGAATCTTAACCCCTTTCTAGACATAGAATTTGGTTGATGATAATAGTTAGTCGGGTACATAATAAATTTGTTTATAGAAATCATCATATATGCTTTGTGATTAGTTTTGTAAATATTTACAAACACAACATAAACAAATGAATACTAAACATATGTTATTTGGCACTTTGTAGATAGCATTCAGAACTGTATAACCACAGAAACCCTCGCCGCAGATGCAGACTAAATAAATTTCCTTTTCTGGCTGGATTTCTTCTAAAATATTCCCTGAAAATTGTCAGATTTATTTCCTATTTAAATAATATTAATTTTAATGAGTACGTAGGTTTGCTGATTCAAAGAAGGTGTTGAGGTGTGTTTTTATTGAAATGTTGATAGCTTTGTAGGAGGTAAACAAAATACTCCCGCCACAGCAAACCTGCAGACTAAGTAAATTTCCATTTGCCTGATTGGATGTACCTTAAAATGTCTCCAATATCACATCCATTCCCTATTTAAATAGCTTCAGTTTAACTGAGTACTTAGGTTTACTGCTACAGGGAGGGTAAAAAGGTTACAACAGTTTAAAAATGTCTCCATAAAAAATAACATGGAAATTTTAAATTTACATTTTTTTTCTCCGTAGCCATTAGGCGTATAATATCGCTTTGATATACTAAATTAATAGTTTTTTTAAACTCTACAAAATGGCGTGGAAAGAAGTTGCTAAAATCTATGTTTTTAGGGTAAAAAATGTTAAAATCCAATTACCCTATAAAACCGCTCATAAACCATCGTTTCCATATCCTATTATGCTGATTCGCGAATCCCTTAGAATAAATGTAGGTTTACACGTTTTCACCAAATTTAACCAAAATCGGATCACCTTTGCTCGTGTTATCGTGCTAACGGGCAAACATGTATATGAATTTGAACGGAGGAGGTTTTTGGCCTCTGGGGACCTGAAAACGGAAAAGTAAATGGGTCATGGGTCTAGGTCTTACCATGAGACCTACGGAATAGCTTTTGCCCTATTTAGGAAATTCGCTAAAATTTAGCACCACACTAAAACCACCACACACCTTTTACTTAAACGTATAATCTGCTACTGATCAGATGCATCATTTTTGAAGGATTTACTTCAAAGAAAAAGTAAATGGTGAGTTTTATTAATAACCATTTACTCAAGTCATGAGCAAAACCTCAAATTTCTATAGATTACCTTTTACTTCTAAAGCAAAAGGTTTTGCTTTAGTTTTTATTAATACAGATTGAAGGATTTGCTCGAATTTTCGCAAGTAAAAGGTTTACCTCATCTTTATTAATACGGCTCAATGATTTACAAGAAAACAATCAATATCTACATCAATAACTCGAGAAAACCCCACACAACTTAAACACCAACTCGGTTAGAAATCAATTCTTTTTTAACAATTCATTCAAATCATACACTACTTTTCAGAGTAAAACATTTTATGAGTTTTCAATGAAAAACATTCAAACATTGGACAAATTACTTGCATCACATGAAAATAAATAACTAACTTGATCTACTGCAGCGAAGACCTCTTCATTCTGGCGTCCATGGGTCTAAAATGAATTCCTAAAAGTTGAACACAATAGAAATCTCAGTATAAATCACTCATACATCCAACAGGAAATGGGATATTGTAATATTAGGAAACTCAAGAACCACAACTTTGCAAGTGGTTGTCTCAATGGAACTATTTCGGACTTAGCAAATCTTAAATTTTTTTTACTTTTTGATTTTTGGTCACCTGGTATTATTCCGGTCGGACGATCATCTGCAATCACTTGCGCACTTCTGCGACTGTCGTAGAACAGAAGTACAAATCTCACGACTTCTTGAGGACACAAATAATATGTGAATCATCTTGCGCAATGGACGCTAAACGATCCTGGATGGCAGCAGAAGA